GCTAACAGCGCAAGGTGTTGCTACCACCACTGATGAATTGCAGTGATATACTTTATAAATATGTCTAATTTTATTAATGTGAGAAAAAAAATGTTTTGCTTTAAATGTATTCAGTCAGCTTACACAATAAATTGTTGAAATATAATAAAGTGTATCTTTTGTCATTTAGCATATTAACAGAAAATCTACCCTTTCATGTGAAAAGATTTAGCCCTTTTAAATAAAACAAACCTCTTATTACAATAGAAAACCAAGGGTTCTAAGAAAATGCTGGCTTATCAATTAATCATTAGTGCTGATAAGATCAATAAACTTGAACTAGATGAACTTTATTACATTACAGTATGCTTTGCCTGAGATATTACTATTTCTTAATTACATCACTTCTCTAGAAATAGAAAACTAAACCAACTAAAATGCAAATAAAAAGGAAAATGTTTTATTAATGCAGCCAACAATTAATTAAATAACTTGAATTCTTTGTGTTCTGTCATTACCTCTAACCTCATCTTTGTAGCTTCTTTCATCTAAACAGCTCCTCTATCTCACCATGCTACAGTTCTGTTTGGGTGATGAGGGATTTTTTCCTTTCATTTTTTTAATGCTATTTAATGTTTTTCCACACATACACACACATTCTCCTTTGCTAAGATGATTTTGTTTAAGTGGAGCTTTATTCATGCTCTTTATTCATATTCTTCATAGCACACAGAAACATACACCTCTTCTCCAGTGTGTGCACAGGCGCACATTTATACACGTACACACGCACAGGCTCTTAGATCACTTAGCTGGTGTGAACATGGGAGTAGACAGAGGAAAGGGAGCTGTCCAACACGGCTAGAGTTTATGTTCACAGGAGCCGTCTGTCTGTTCTGCAGCGACAGGAATTCATAGGGACCAAATTACATTAAAAAGATGGATATAAAACTTTAATGGAATGATAAAAAGGAAAGGAAGGAGCGAGGGTCTCTCTTTCCCTCTGTTCTGTCATTAGTCCACTTTTTTCTTCCTTCTGCTTCTTCTGCTTTTATGTTTATTTTTACACTATTTTTTTTAAATCTTATATTTCTTTTTAGTTTTCCAAAATGCAATAAAACTAACTAATCACAGTCCTTAATGCCTTATCTAGTAAAACATCTTAATTATAAATCCAGGTCAATAGAATCAGTTTAAGATACTTAAAATATATAGAGCACATAGAAAGAATATGCTTATAAAATTTCAAGTTGCCCATTTTCTAATACATTTCTGAGGTGTTTTGTGCTGATATACCTATAAACTGTAACTACAGCTCCCAGCATGCCTTGCAGCTCTGATGTCAAACTATAGGTATCAACCCTAGCCTGCCATTAGTGTCTCTTTCTCTGCAGCTGGCGTTGGTCCAAGTTAGAAACAACTCAGTTACTGCCACATTGTCAGTCAGCTAAGACATCATTACGCTGTCCTTCCCTCTATTTTACATTGTTTCTCTCATTGTTGGACACTGTTAAAAGGTTAAAAGAACTGCTGCTATCCAGATTTATAATTGCTGTAGATTTTCCAATTGTTTTGTGTTTGTTTTTTTAGTTAATTAGTGTGTTCTAGTATTATTTAACAGAATAATTGCTTGTAACAGGGAATTATTTTTAAGGTAAACTTAGGCATGTATAAATTGTGGTTTTTTGTGGTTATCTTATTTCGGTGGTCTGTTTTCTGTAGAAGCTAGAGATAAATTACTTCCTAAGGTAATAGCTTGATTATACAGAGATATGTCTTGTGGTTTTGTTTAGGATTATCAATCACCAACTGCAGTTATACATTGTAAACATTTACTAGTGGTTATTATTGACCAAGGTTCATAACTGGTTTAAAGCACTTCATAATGATGGGAGTCAGTGCGACAGGCCGGTAATCATTCAGTGAGTTGACCTGAGGCTTTTTTGGGGACCGGAATGATGGTGGCAGACTTAAAGCATGCTGGCACTATCGCTCGGTCCATAGAGGTGTTGAAAATGTCTGTGATGACACCAGCCAGCTGATCTGCACACTCCTTATACACCCACCCAGGTATGTTATCGGGCCCTGGGGCTTTCCTTGGGTTGACTCTCCTCAGAGTTTTCCTCACTTCAGCTATGTCAAGGATAAGAGCCTCCTCTCCCTGATGTGGAATGGCTTTCACTGCTGGAGTTTGTTTTAGAGCCTCAAACCTTCCAAAGAAGTGGTTTAGTTCATTTAGCTCGTCAGAGTCATTAGATGCATCTACTGGGGGAGAGGGGGGGGTGTGATTCCCGGTATGCCTTGCCACATCCTCCTGGAGTTGCTGGAATCATGGAAGAGATCCTGTATCTTCTGGCCTTGGTTTTGCTTTGCTGATCTAATGGCACGGTTTAAGTTGGCACGCGCTGTCCTCAGTGCCTTTCTGTCACCATACTTGAAAGCTGAGTTCCGTGCTTGTAGCAATTTCCGAACCGCTCCATTCATCCAGGGTCGTTGGCTGGCCCCAGTGGTGATGTTCTTAGTGATGCTGACGTCTTCAATGCATTTGTTGATGTAGGCTTACAGTCATGGCATATTTATCTATATTTATTTTGTTGTCATAAGTTGCTGCACCTTTGAACATATTCTAGTCAGAGAATTCAAAACAATGTTGGAGTTTCTGCATGGCCCCAATATAGACCTCCAACCATCACTTGAAAAAATTGTGCTGTA